AAAAAAAAAAAAAAGCAACCCTAGAAAAGGAAAACAAATGGAAACAAATAGAGAATAATATTATTTTCAAATGGTTGAAATGAGTCAAATATTTTTCCTTTGGAAAATACGGTTCGTTGCAAACAGGTGGCCTTGTTCCCACTGCAGGTACCTAGTGGAGGGAAGCTGTGGGATCCCGTTTTACTGTGAAGAATTGCTAAAAAACCTTGACCATCACAGGGTACTCATTTTCCAGCCGATGGAGGCGGAGGAAAAGACCAATATGACCTGGAATAACCTGTTCAGTAAGTCTCCCGGTGAAGGCTCTTTCTCTCTGTCCTCTGCAGAGAGGATGGCAGGAATGGCTTTTTCCACGGGCTGCATCCCGTAGGGCCACGGGGACTGGGGAGGCAAAGAGTGTCAGCTCTGATATCTGAGATGGAGAGAGAACTTAACGTTGCCTGGGGCTCACTGAACGGAGGGAGACTGTGTGCCCCGGAAAGAACACAGAAGAACACTGGGGAATCTTAAAGCCCAGAATCCACACGGAAGGGGATTTAGATGTTAGGTGGTGGGAGAAAATACCTTGTCTTCCAGAGTCTTCTAGCTCAAAGTGAATTGTCCCCAGGTTTCCCATACTACAGACACGTACGGGAGGATGAAATCTGAGATAATGGCATAAAGGAGGCCAGTTGGAGTTTTTAAGAGAATAATTTTAACATCGGGAGGGGGAGAATGGGAAAAGGATGCATTCCAGAAAGTGGAAGATTAAAGCTTCTGTGAATGATAAGGAAAGGTCTGTGTGGGGAGTCGGCAGTGATGAGAAAAATTCACATGCCGGACGCTAAACCCGCTGAGCCACCCAAGGGCCCCTGTGGTTGTTGAATTCTTCTATATCCTGGGCCATTTTCTGCCTAGCTGTCCTATCAATTGCTGAGGGAGAAATGTTGACGTCTCCAACTATAATTGTAGACTTGTCTATTTTTAGTTCTATCAGCTTTTGCTTCACGTATTTTTTGTTCGGTGAATAAACGTTTAGGATTGCTAGGGGCGCCTGGGTGGCTCAGTGGGTTAAGCGGCCGACTTCAG